TAAAACCCACAACATTCTTATAAGAACCAGAAGAGAAGAAGTTAAACATAACCATAAAAGTCAAACATGCAGATGAATGACATCCAACATTTCAAGAGCCACATTTCGAACCGTATAATGAACTCTGGAGCTGAGAAAAACTACCACACATCAGCAAAAAAGACAAGACCAATTAGCAAGTGGAGGAAAAAAAGAAAAACGACACAACCATCCATCGCCATGAGAGCAGATACATAAAATCTCACACCCAGATACAACAGAAAAAAAATTAAATAAATAAAAATAAAAAGTTTGATACTTACGGGGCCATCCACCGGTATGTGCCTGTCTCTGGCGTCATACCCTCAGTCTGCACCTCAATACGAGCTACCCCAAAATCCGCAATCTTAATCGACTTGTCTGCAGCTATTAAAAGATTGTCCGACTTCAGGTCTCTGTGAATCAGATTCAGACCGTGCACGTACTCCATACCCCGGGCAACATCCAAGGCCTGCTTAACTGCCAGCTTCAGCGGCACAGAGCGGTTCTGCCTTTTGGTCAAGAACTGGCGAACAGAACCTCCCTTAGCATACTCAGTAACGATGCACCAAACCATCGGTTTACGGCATGCACCAATAAACCGGACGATGTTTGGATGCCTCAGATTAGCCAGCATCATCACCTCCTGCTGAAACTGCTGCTCCATCAGCTGGGCCCGCTCGATATCATTCTCGGGCTTCTCCAAAAGCTTGATCGCGACATCCTCACCATTGTATGTGCCTTTATATAGTTTCCCGAAAGCACCCTGAGCGAAAGCAGGACCCATGTTGAGCTTCCGCAGGTCAATTGTCCATTCATCGTAGTTTCCGAGGCCCTCGGTGGGGAACCGTGGGTCCATCAAAGCCCGTGCGAGGGCATCATCACTCAGCTGGGAGGCCCGTCCGTGGTTATTGTTGCTAGCGGCCACTGAATAATCCCTCACCCGCTTCAGACCCTGGTGGCCAAGGATGCGGGTGTTTGAGCCATTGGACCCCACGCTACTGTTGTCCACAGACATGGCCACGGAGCCACCACCATTGCTCATCTGCAGGCTGCCGTAACTGTCAACTGACATGTTTGAGCCCTCATTGAGCTTGCGGTAGAAGTTTTGGGAGAAGTCATAGTTATCATGGTTGACATTCAGGTCTATCATCCCAGTAAATTTTGGACCTTCCAACATTTTTATGTTTTTTGGTATTATTCTCTATTAAAGAAAAAGAGCCCGCCGAGAACCTTTGAATGTATTCTATATCTTGTGCATCCGCATATCCAAGCTCAATCTCGTCCAACAGAATCTACAAACATAGTCAACAAAGATAATGTTAGCTATCAAAAAGATTTCTTCTGTACTTTTTTACCATCGCATCTATCAAAGAACCTGTCCAACTAACCCCTAAGTACGAAATGTATGAAGCATCAATTATAATCTATCGTGAAAAAAGGTTTACCGGCGAACAATAAATGTCGTCGAATATGACAAAAGAATTTACCGACATCACAAACTAGCAAGCAAGATTGCCCTTAAAGGCTGTCAAGATACCCTTCAAAACTCTACACACAGGAAATCACAAGCACTTAATAAGGCTAAATTGGAAGATGATAAAAAAATGAGATGATCAAGCTCTTTCTAACTCGTATTCCCTCAAATTTTACTCACTTCTCTTCAGTTGACCATAGTTGCTGCAGTCAACAGAAGTCGTCTAGCCATCAAATTCATCTAACCCAGAACAATCAGGTGCAAAACCCTAGCCTAAAACCTAACAAGATCGAGACTTGTTGCAGGTGCGCTCAACCCCAACCCCACTCCCTAAAATAAAATCGTATTTTTCCCCCAAAATCCCAAAATTCACATGCAATGAACAGCAAAAAAGACGAAAAAAAAAATCATAATCACTCCAAAAACCAGTTGATCCGAGTGAAAATTTGAGAAACAAGCAAATACACACCTCGATCGATAAGGCTTGACTTTACTCTTTTTTTTTTTCTCCTTTTTTTTCGACCGTCTCCAGAAAAAACCCAGATGAGACACACTGAAATTCAACACTCCTTCCGGCTAATC